GGACTACAGTTGTCTTCCTTTTTTTTTTTTTTTTTAGCAAAACAATTTAAAAAGTTTATTAAGGTAATAAAACTTATTATTTGCTTAGCTAGTGTAGTGAAAGGTAGGCCATGCAAAAGATTTTATGTGAAAAAGAAGAAAGAGGTAAAGGTTATCTTATTTCTTTTTTTAAATTTTGTTTTTTATTCACTGTTGCACATTTTCTTTCCCCCTTCTCCTCTTGCCCTCCCCCAGCCCACCTCACAATGCACTCCTTGTTCCAGATTGTTCTCATACATACAATGCATAATCATCTATTCCTTTCAGACAGTTCCTTCCCTCATCTGTTATAATGTTCATTATCTATCCACTCTTTCCCTATTCTCCCCCAGAGCTCCCCCATTAGCCTTCCTATTTTATAACAGCAGTATTATGCCCTATTTGACCTTTTGTGACTGAGATATTTCACTCAGCATAATGTCCTCCAGGCTCCCCCCATTGTGTAATGTTTTACAAGTTCATTGTTTTTCGATGTTGTGTAATAGTCCATTGTGTGAACATTCCGTAGTTTTTCTATCCATTCATTTGTTATGGGCACTTGGGTTGCTTCCACCTCTTTACTGTTGTGAATAACGGATCAATAGTCATGTGTGTGCATACATCTGTTTGAGTCATGGCTCTGGTTTCTTTAGGATATATTCTCAGTAGTGGAATTGCTGGGTCAAATGTTATTTCTATTTCCAACTTTACGAGAAAGTGCCAGACTGCCTTCTGTAGTGGTTGTATCATTTTACACCCCCACTGGCAGTGAATAAGAGTTCCAATCTCTCTACAGTCTCATTGGCATTTGTTGTTTGCTGCCCTGTTGAAATTTACTATTGTTTCTGGATTTACTTATTAAAAGCACTTGTGGAGTGTAGGCTTATAGGATAAAAATGCAGCAGTTTTAAATAATTTCTTCTTTGTTATTATAAAAACTTACATAGGAATAGTTGTCCTAGTGGAGAAGGAGAGAGGAAATAGATTTATCTAGATGGCTTAGTTGTTGTCCTGTTCTTAGTTTCTACCACTTTACTTTGTTTTCTCCGTTAGATATGGAAAGATTGTCTCTACGAAGGCCATCCTAGACAAGACCACAAACAAATGCAAAGGTGAGTGAACAGCCACCCTTGGCATGGGAAGTAGCAGTGAGTGAGGCTGTCCTCACCTCTGCCCGTTACTGAAGCTGAGTCCTGAGGATCTAGTGCCGGGGAGAAGTTTTCAGGCTTAAAGACGAGGGTTGCAGTTACGTGCCATCAAGTTGGAACTGACACACAGCTGAACGCTCAGTGGTTTCAGCTGTAAATCTTACGGCAGTAGATTGCCCACCTATCTCCTGGAGCAGCTGGTGGATTCCAGCTGCCTGCTGAGTAGATATTTCAGTTCTTCAATGACCAGATTGTTTGAGCTGAAGATGGTGTTTTGGAATCCAGAAGCTAAAAGATTACACAGAACATATTTGAGTCTTTTGAGCTAGACCTCACAGATTAGGTGGCAATATTGTTTCTATTTAGCAAAGCAGTGAAAATGCTTTCTGTGGGAGGTCAGTGACTTATTAGATGTTCTTTTCTGAGGATGAATTATTTTACTGGGGTTTTGAGCAATTCTAGAGGGAGCTGGAAGGATGGGAGAGATCTGCAGGTTGGGGTAAGGAGGGGCTCTTTCCCCGCAGGTGGCCAGTTATCTGCTCTGGAGAGATTACATTCCCTACATAGTTAGCATTTCTGAGGTATGACTGGAAAAGAGGAGGTAGTACTTTTAGAAATGTGGAGGGAGGGTTATTGGAAAAACTAGAAACCAGAGTGCTCCTTGGAGGCAAGGCTGGTAACATACTTAGTTGTTAGGAGAGGTCAGTCCTTGGAGGCCAGCATGCTTGGAAAGGTGGAGGGTCAGCAAAGAAGAGGAAGACCCTCAGTGAAATGGACTGACTGATGTAATGACTGTAATAGTGGGCCCAGGTATATCAGAGATGGCGAGGATGGCACAGGATAGGGCAGGGTTCAGATGTAGTATTCACAGGGTTGCTGTGTGTTGTGTGCAGCTCACAGCAGCCAATGACAACGATTAGTTCCACAAGTTTTAGAGGTTTGAAAAAGAAGTTGAGGTGGGAGGGAGAAAAGTAGAGTCAACACAAGGACTTTATTGCCCTTGGCATTATTAGGTATGTTGTTGTTGTTAATATACCATCCAGTCACCTGCAACTCCTAGTGACCTTATGCACAATAGCTCTAAACCCTGTCCTGTCCTAAGCCAGTCTCACTGTGCCCGACACACTTGCCCCCATTAGCCCAGTCAGTCGCTGTGTCAGTTCAGAGTTTGAGGAGCGCAGGGGTAGTCTGACTACCTGAAACCTCTTGATTGCTGTTTCTCCTTCCTACTTCTATCATATAGACTTTAAGTCTTCCTCTGGCTCCTGAAAGCCCTGGCCTCCTACCTTCCTTACACTCTCCACCTCCCACTGATGCTCTTTCCTTGTTCTAGGCTATGGTTTTGTGGACTTTGACAGTCCTTCTGCAGCACAGAAAGCTGTAACAGCACTGAAAGCCAGTGGTGTGCAGGCGCAGATGGCGAAGGTAAGGGTGCTGCCCATACCTGTTCCTCTGAGGGTCGTGATTTGTCCCAAAGTTCCAATTCCAAGGCTTTCAGAGAGCCTAGGACCATTCAGAATTCAGGGCAAGAGGTATCCTTGGTGCTTTTTTACCACATTTGGCCAAGAGGAGGCTGGACAAGGGTCTGACCCATTGAACATCCCTTGGCTGTTTGAAGAAAGTAATGTTCTGAGTTTGTCCACCTAACTCTGCTAACTCTATTTCTCTCACCACATTGTTAGCAGTTAAGAAGATCAAGAGGTTTCTTCTCTTCCTTCTGCAGCTGCTGCTTCTCCACCCTGCCCTCACTTCCCTACCAGTCAGTTTGTGGTGGTTTTGCTATGTTCTCAGAAATCATTTTTGCAACTCTGTTCTCTGCAGGGGTGTTGTATTGGGGTGCTAGATGGGAGCCACAGCAGGAAGGAAGCTGACTCCATCTCAGATCTGCTTGGAGTTACTCTTCCCGTTTAGTCTACAGAAAAGGATTTTTATTCCCCCTCTCCATGAAGTGAGAATTACCCCTCTGCCTTTCTAAGCCATTGTATATCCTACACATGAAGCTGGGGAGATAGGCCTGTCAGCAACCCTTTACTGTCATGGTTAAAAAGGAAGCCCCGAAGAAAAAGGCCAGAGAGGAGTGAATTAAAGGAGCTGGTGATCCAATGTGACTGCGTAAATTCTTCAGAATGTTATGAGCTATGAGAAGATGTTATCACTGCTGACACTGCCCTCTGAAAACAGTTTTCTTTCTGGAGAGAGATTCCAGTGTTTAGGAGCCTTCTGGGTTCCTGGAAGACTAGAGCCTTCAGGGCCTCCTGGTGACCCAGTGAGCTGTACATCTGGCCCTTATGCAGCCTGAGCACATTGTCCTTCCCGTTCATTCCTCCTCTCCCTTCCTGCTTTCCCTCCTTTAGGGAGTGAACACACATTCCTACTTTGGAGGATTCTGCTGTGGCCGGAAGAGGGGGAGGGGGAGCCACGCAAAAACAATCCAGCCAAGGAGCAAAACAGTCCAAGAGAATCTGGCCTCTGGGACAGGCTGTTGGAGGAGGAAGGGGTGTTGCTCTGCCTGGTTTTTAAAGAGACAGTCAAGATAGGTTTGACTGTATCATGAACTTGTACAGTTCTGGGATTGTTGAATCTGCTTTTTGCCCCTGGACTCAATATACAACCCAGGGTAGTGAGATTGGATGTTAATACATTAGTTAAAATTTTCTTTGTGTGAGATCCTGTCCTTGATATTTCTTTTCATAGATGAAGACTGAGCATAGAGAAGGGGTAAGAAAGAGGTGTTTAATTTTATTATCTTTTACTCCCATAGCAACAGGAGCAGGACCCCACAAATTTATACATCTCAAACCTCCCACTGTCAATGGATGAGCAAGAATTGGAGGGGATGCTGAAGCCCTTTGGCCAGGTTATCTCCACCCGAATCCTTCGAGACACCAGTGGGACCAGCAGAGGGGTTGGCTTCGCAAGGTGAGGAGGTGCCAAGAATGGGAAATGATGAGGTTAGTAAAAAATGTCACCTGGAAGGTCACCAAAATATCTAGGACCAAACTATTGACCAGAAGGTCTTGTGAGTAAATCAAAAGTCCATTTTATATATATATATATATAAAAGTCCATTTTATATGGCAGGCCTATTCCTGTGGGTCTGTCGTAGTATTCCATGTCAGAGCAAACTGTAGCCCCAAACCATTGCCTGGCCTCCTTGCTCATAGGCTGCAGACACTGAAGCGGGTTACACAGTGGAGAAAAAATTAAAAGCCCATTTTATTTAAAAGTCTATTTTAGTCTAAATACTAAAAAAAAAAAAATAGGAGTCCTATCTTTAATTTCTCCTCAGCACTTTCTGTTCCTCAACCAATATAATTTTGTATATATTTCTGAAGTTCACTGAATACTTTCTCATGCTCTTATCTCACCTAATCTTTATAGCAACCTTGTGAGGCAAACAGAATATTAATTTCTCATTTTCCAGATGAAGAAACTGATAATCCCCAATGTGAAATTATTTCCCAAGGTCTCACACAAGTAGGTGGTAGAGCCAAACCCCAGTCCTTCCGAGTTCAAGCTCTTTTTCTTTCACTATCTGACTGCTGCGGAGTCAGAACTGACCCAGAACTGACCCTCCATTGGGTTTCTGAGGCTGTAAAAGGCCTGGGAGGAGGTTGCCCAACTTCCTCCTGAAGGAGCTGATGGATTTGAGTCACCAGAGAGGGTCAGCCTTGGGTTAACAGCACAGCTCCCTGCAGACAAGGCTGCTAAAGCTCCCTAAAAGGAAGATCTTTTCAGTTCTGTTAGGAGACCTAGATGCTGGAACCAACTCTGCCACTAACTGGCTGTGTTCTCTCTTACCTTTTTGAGCCTTGGTTTAGAGTGAAATGAGATATAGATGAGAGATTTCTGTAAGATGTTCCCTAGGACTTGAATTCTCCAAGGTGCCCTCTGACAGCCTCGGGCATGATGCTTGTAGGATTGCCATTGACAAGGTTCACTTTTTTTGTTTTTTTATTTCATCTTCACTTTTCTTGACAGAGCTCACTTTTTTCCCCACAAAATTTGTTTTCTTTTTTATTAGAGTGTAGGTTTACAAATCATGTTGGATTTTTCCTTCAGTCATTCATAGTTTGTTTTGTAACATTAGTTATCATTAATTGATTATAATATCTAATCAAATGCTTATTGAATTATTGTTTTATCCTTCATCCAGACTATCTATATATTAATTTTTACTTCTCTCTCTCCCATCTCATTTTAACCCTTCAAGATTTATTCCATATGTAAGCTTTTCCTTAGATTTTTATATTAGTGGTCTTATACCATAATTGTCCCATTGGGACTGACTTCAGTCTTTCAGCATGATTTGTTCTAAATTCATACATGTTACGAAGTATTTCACAAATTCTTGATTGTTTTTAAATTATGCATAACTCTACTGTGTGACTATGCCATTGTTTTTCGTTAGCCATTCATCGCTTGTTGGGTATTTGGCTTGTTTCCAACTCTTTGCTATTGTAAATAGCATGGGTGTGTATATCAGCTTGTTTTACAGCTTTTATTCCTTTAGGATACACATACGTCATAGTAGGATTGCTGGATCAAATAATATTTCTATTCAACTTTCTAAGGAAGTGCCAAATTGTAAAACTCACTCTAGAAGTGGTTCTACATATACTTAGTTCAGATTTTTGTTTTTAAGGAATTACATTGCTTTTTTAAAACAGTTTGGAAACTACTAAAGGGTCTTTTCTATTTTATATTATCTTAATTGTTCTACACACACTCCTTTATTCTGGAGTGTTTCCATCTCTGGAATGAGTAGATTCTTTCCCAAGCCAACTCGATCTTTGTAGCACCACCTGCTGGCAATTTGAACTATAACTAAAGGGGTGTTCCAGGCTTGTGGTCTTCAGACTTCGTTGCTTCCAAACCATCTCGTGAGAGAAATTCCCAGATTTTCTCAGTCTACAGCATAGCAGTAATTCCCCCCACACACACACAGAGCATCCTACATCTAAAGAAACATGTAATACATCAATTTATTAAGCAATTAAATAAATGATCTCAATTACACTCAAGTATCTGTGTCTTAAATTTGCATTCATTTGAAAAAATAGTGCATATACATTAAAAGAAATGGTAAATTGCACTGCAATTCCAAAGGCCCATGGTTTGAATCTACCAGCAGCTCCTGGGAGAAGGATGAGAAATTTCCTCCCATGCAGTTTGCTGCCTCTGAAAACCTGCTGGAGCTGTCAGCTATGGGTTGATTCAACTCACCAACAACAAAAGTTAGAAGAGTGACATATCAGGGAATTGAGCTGCTAATCCAAAGGTGGGGCCTCTCTGGTGATTCAGGTCTATCAGCCGCTCCCTGAGAGAAAGATGGGCTATCTCTGAAAACCTGCCAGATGGTCAGCTATGAGTTGGTTCTGACTCAGTGGCAGTGAGTTAAATTGAATATGTTAAAAAAGAAAATATTTTTCATTTCAATCTTAAATTTTACTAATGCACAATGAATGTGTGTGCTGTTCCCCAGTGCCTCAATCATGGAGTAACATTGGAAATGTTATACAAATGGATACTTTTCATTTCTTTGAACACATTGACTTTGCAAAGATAGGTTATCAAAAAAAATGTAGGATGCACACCCATGTTTATTACGGCTTTGTTTGCAATAGCAAAGATCTGGAAACAACCCAAGTGCCCATCAACAAACAATGGATAGAGAAGCTCTAATATATTCACACAATGGAATACTACACATCTTTGAAAAACAAGGAACTCAGGAAATAATATGCAAAATGGATGACCCTGGAGGACATTATGCTGAGTGAAATATCTCTGTAACAAAAGGACAAATATTGCATAGGGCCACTGTTGTAAAATGGGACTGACATTGGGGTTGAGGGAAGACAGAGAAGGAGAGGAGGAGTGATGTATATTGCATTTAAACAGATGAGGGAGAGAACTGTTTAAAAGGGATATATGAATGGGTATTCTTTTCATTACAGAAGTCCACAGTGAAGGCTGCCTAGTGGAGTAGACTTTTTGGGGGGGAATTGCATAACAATGAAAGAGTTTTTCTTTTTAAGGAGAAGAGTGAATTGCGGGGAGAGGGGGTGGGCAGGGAGAAAAGTGCAACAATGAATGACCGGAAACCCTAAGTCTCTGTAAACTTTCATTAAAATTAATAAAAAAAGAATATAGGGTGATCTAATGTTGAAGTGGTAAACTAATCTGAGTTAATAGTTTCTTCAGTGTCCAACAGATTTTTGTTGTATTGTATTCCAAAAGTTAAATCATCCCTTACTGTGCCTCTTTGCCTGTGCTTTGATGGCACAGTTCTAATATGCTATGCTGCTAACCAAAGTCTGGTGTGTCTAGCAATTTGAACCCAGAGAGGTGCTCACCTAGAGAGGTATCCCTTCCCTTAAGATTTACAGCCTTGGAATCTGATGGAGGCTTGCTGTGAGTCTGAATGGGCTCGTCAGTGAAAACTTTCCTTTCTCTTTGAAAAGTGTTTATTGATCATATACAAAATAAAGAAAGCCTTATATATCACAAACACACACCCTGTACAGCAAAAATATGCAGGGGAGCCTGGCCCAGCACTGCCCCACCTGGACAGTAATTTAGCAATAAATATATGCTGGCCCGTGGCAAGAAGCTGTGCTGCAACCCCTAAAATATGTGGTTTGAGGCTGCCAGCTGCTCCCCTATCAGGATTGACAGTCTCCTCCGCCTCTGAAAATCTGCCAGAGGGTCAGTTCAACTCTTCAGTACACAATAACAATGCATGCAGGGCAGGTAGGCCAAAGTCCGACCAACCAACTATTGTCCCACCTGCCCAATCACCCCTCCCTCAGGATTGCAGCCTGTCTGGGTCTGACTACTGCTTCAAGGGCCATGTGATTGCATGCTTGTTGCTTAAAGTGATGGAAGTGAATTTGAATGTGTTTTTTTCTTGTTAAGTGGCTCTGTGAGTCCATCAGAGACTTAGGGTGCTTTAGAGCATTTTAGAAGACCTAGCTCTTAAGACTTGTGAAAAAGGGGAGCTCTGGTGGCCTAGTTGCAAGGAGCTGCAACTACAATCCCAGAGGCGCACGGTTGGAATCCACCAGATGCTCTGCCGGGGAAGGAGGGACAATCTCCTCCTGTACCAGTCAGATCTGATTTGACGGTACACTCACACAAAAATAAAAAATAAAAAAAAAAATTAAAAAAAAAGACTTGTGAAAAACTATGAAACCTTTTGCATGTTCCTATTGTTGTTGTTGATCGTCCTCAAGTGGAGCACAACTTATAGCAACCCTATGTTCCTATACTAGTTGTTGTTGTTGTTATGTGCTGTCGAGTCGCCTGCGACTCATAGTGACCCTATGTACAACAGCCCTAAACTCCGCTCTGTCCTGTGCCAATCGCACTGTCTCCGACACCCCCATCCCGATTACCCCAGTCACTGAATCAATCCACCTCATAGAGGGCCTTCCTCTCCTGCGCCTTCCCTCCACCCTCCCAAGCATGATGTCCTCCAAGGACTGGTCTCTCCTTACAGCATGACCAAAGTCTGTCAGCCGTACCTATACTGGTATCTAAAAATTATCTTTATATTGATGCAAAAGGTTTTTTTCCAGTGAATTATAAATATTGGCATTTAAAATGAAAATTATTAAATCATTTAAAAATTTATCCAAGTAAGATCTAAATATCATTACAGTTTAGGACATAAAATGATCCCGTTTTTAAAATACTTGGGCCATTTTAATAGTAATCTCATGCATTGTTGTTATTGTAGTGGTCTGTCCCCTTCCACCCTGATCATATTTGTCATTCTTTTTTCTTACAGAGTTATATTTTAGTGTAACATATTTTTATAGCTGAAAACCTTTTATGGATCATCTGCCATATTTCTCTGCAACAGAAATATATACATAATTTAAATTTTCCCCCTGTGACCATAAAGTTCTAAATATTGACTTAATTAATACAAACTTATCTTTATAATTATTAATTCACAGTTGCACAAAACAACATAAATATATTAAAATGTTGATACAAAATTATTTTACATAAGGTACATAGTCTTGGAAATGCTTTTCCTGTGACATAGATAAGTTTTATTTTGTTTAGAGTTTTGTAATTAGGTCATATAACCCTCAATGAATATTGCTTATTACTAGATTACATATTATTACTTATTACATAAGTACATGGGAATGGAAGAAGTTTTGTTAAGGCAAAAATCCTTTTCATTCCTTCTGAATTACATATCAAAACCAAAGTGACAAATCATCAGAATTTATTTTTAATCTATCAGTTGGCAACCTGCTGAGACTTCCAACTCTGTTGGAAGCAAAGAATTGAAAGTATTTGTTAACTTCATCATCAATACCTCATGTTGAGATTTGGGGTGGATGACAACTAATTGAAAGGGAACTTCAATTATTTGTTCACTACAAATTATTTGTTCACTTGGGGAGCTCTGGTGGCCTAGTGGCAAGAAGCTGCACTGCAATCCCAAAGAAACACGGTTCGAATCCACCAGACGCTCTGCCGGAGAAGGAGGCGCAATATCCTCCTGTACCAGTCAGATCTGATTTGACGGTACATGCACACAAAATAATTAAAAACAAAAATTATTTGTTCACTACAAATTATTTGTTCAATTATTTGTTCACTACTAGCCATTATAAGCTCTTCCTCAGGCAGATGAATTTTAGGAAGATTTCAAGAAGTTGAAGTTCTGAAGAGAATCTCTTAAAATACTCCAGATCTTTCCACATTTGGAAAGATCATTAAGAGTTGAATGTAACCCAGTGGAAGGCTGCTGTTCTTCTAGATCTGATATATAGTTTTTCTTAAAAGGTTCAAATTGAGGCCTTTTTTCAATTGCCTTCTTTATATAGCTCATGATTTTAGGGAGCTCTGGTAGCTTAGTGGCAAGAAGCTGCACTGCAATCCCAAAGGCATGTGGTTCGAGGCCACCAGCTACTCCATGAGAGAAGAATGGGAAATCTCTCATGCAATTCGCTGCCTCTGAAAACCTGCTGGCAGGTCAGCTATAGGTTGGTTTCACCTCTGAAAACCCTCTATAGAGTCCGCTATGGGTCGGTTTCGACTCTATGATACACAATAACAACAACCTTGGTATAAAAAGTAGTCTACTGAGACAACATACTGCTAATCAGGAAGGAAGGGATAATACTGTACTTTGCATTTTATTGTTGTTGTGTTTTCAGAGGCAATAATCACAAAGGAGGAGATTGCCCATCCTTCTTCTTTGGAGCAGATGGTGGATTTGAACCATGTTCCTTTGGGATTGCAATACAGCTTCTTATGATTAGGCCACCAGAGCTCCCTATTACAATATCTAGGATTTTATGATTTTCAGCATGTGTTTATGTACATGATCTCATTTTATCTGTATAACCCAGAGTTTTAGAGTTACTATTACTGAGCAATTGACCTAAAGAGTTTTCCCAAGTCAGCTCCTGAAGCTCTGGGGTGAACTGGCATTAGAATCTCCATCTTCTGATGGTTCTCTGTCAGTGCTCTCTCGTCAACATTCCTTAACTCAGTACTTCTCAATTTTTTTTCCATAACCATGAAACAGGGGCTTGTTCTTACTTCTTCCTCCTACAGACTCATGAAATATCAGTGATAATGTCAGTTGCTAATCAGACATTAATAATTGTAAAAAGAGAGAGGTCATGCTGCTCTCACTCCTTTTATAAAAATTAAAAGCAGAAGAGAAAAATAAGTACTGGCAAATTATCATTTCTGTACCAGTCATAACATTAGGTCCATCCATTGGAATCTTCTTTGGAATAATCATAGCTTGAATACCTCCACTGTTCCTTTGAGGACCCCTTACAGAAGCCCCTTGAGAGCCTACATTAGAGATTTGGGTTGCATCTTCCAGATACCTTAAGTTTATGAAAAGGAACTCTGTATTTCTGTAGTCATAACTTTGGAGCTTTTATGGGGTTGGGACTTAGAGCTTTCTCTTTGAATGTAGGGAGAGCACAGATCCTGGAGAAGCTAGAGCCTAACCCCTCTTGTGCTCCTTAGGATGGAGTCCACAGAGAAGTGTGAAGCCATCATCACCCACTTTAATGGAAAATATATTAAGACACCCCCTGGAGTACCAGGTGAGGCATCTGGGCATCAGGCTGAGAGGGCCGCAGGTTCTTCCTTCCAGTGAAGATGCTGGAGGAATCTTGCATGAGAGTGAGAAGGCTGAATGAGGTGGAACTCGGTTGCCTCTCTTCTTTCTTTCGACAGCCCCATCTGATCCCTTGCTTTGTAAATTTGCTGATGGTGGGCCAAAGAAACGACAGAACCAAGGAAAATTTGTGCAAAATGGACGGGCCTGGCCAAGGAATGGAGATATGGTAAGAAGATATCTGAGAAGACGGGAACGAAAAGGACTTTAAGGGGACCAGAAGTATTCATGGCCTGACTTTTCATAAGCTTTAAGTAGCAAGTTAGAGAGCTACAGTTTGACTGCAGGGTATAGTGCTATATTCTTCATTGTGTGTCTTTAATTGGATTTTGCAGCCTGAACTGTAAAGAAAACTCTGGAACAGCTGCAGTGGGTCTTGACCCAGCCTTGACATTCTAGGCTGCTCCTATTTTAACCCAAAGACTTAGAAAATGAACACTGTGTCTTTCTTTGTAGGGTGGCATGGCCTTGACCTATGACCCTACCACAGCTCTTCAGAATGGGTAATTATATTTTTTTTAATTAATTTTAATGAAAGTTTACAGAAACTTAAGGTTTCCAGTCACTCATTGTTGCATTTTTCTCCCTGCCCACCCCCTCCCCCTAGAAATGGGTAAGTATATTTTATATAATCAAGCCACCAGAAAATTACAAAAGCCTATATCTAGTCTCTTGGATGTCCCATCTTTTTTTAAAAAAAAAATTTTTTTTACAAAAATAAACAGAACAAAGCCCCCCATTTCCACGTTACTAGACATAATGATCTGTGACATTAATCTTCACATTGTGTAAACATTCTCGTTACGTCTGTTCTAGTTCTTTCCCTCCTATTTACTTAAATTCCCTTCCCTCCAAACTTCTCATATCTAAGATAGCTCCTCGCACTTTCCTCTTACCTTGTTGTGTTGGTGATGGTATACGTCATAGCTGACCCTTTATTGGCTTTTTAGAGGCAGTAAATCTCAGACGAGAGGAAATTGCCCATCTCTGTCCCACACAACAGCCTGTGGATTCTAAGCAAATGCCTTTGGGTTGGCAGTGCAACTGCTGTATGGCTGCTGCTGTTGTTGTGTACCATAGAGTCGGAACTGATTGATAGCTGACCTTCCAGCAGGTTTTCAGAAACAGTTAATTGCATGGGAGGAGCTTGTCCATCCTTCTCCCATGGAGCAGCTGGTGGCCTTGAACCACGTGCCTTCTGGGTTACAGCCCAGCTTCTTGCCACGAGGCCACCAGAGCTCTCTTACTACTAAGCTGATGGTTTTTGTTTGTTTGGTTTTTAGTTCAGTATTCAAGAGTGATAATCTTTACCTGTGGGCTAAACTGAGCGATGCACATTTTTGCAGCTAGCATGTGTGATACACAGTTTTGCAAACCATGAGGTCCCTTTGTGCGTGTTATTTCCTTAAGTAGACTACCCATGCTTTTTACATGTTGATGATTTCCATTTCTTTTTACTTTTCTCTAACTAATGTGTTTCATACTAACCCTTCCTCTTGGTGCCTGTTGATGTAGGAGCTTAGTTCCAGCAGCAGACCCTCAATTTCCTAAAGTAAATCCATCTCCTGACTAGACTCTTTCCCTCCTTGTTCTATAAACTACTTTCCACGTCAGGAAGAACTCACTTTTTCTACCCTAAATACAACCTTTGCCAGGGCAGCTGGCTATGCCCTGGAAATGCACAGGTCTGAACCCCATCTATAGAGGCTATCCAGGCAGGAGAGGCCAACATACTGCAGTCATGCATTTTTTTTTCCACAATACAGATGTTTAAAATGAATACAAAGGGAAATAAAAATCACAAAATTATACGTACTACAACAATGTGTCATGTATTAGATGGACAAATGAATGCACCAAGGTGGTATTTAACTAAAGATAAAACTAAATATCCAAAAGGCAGCACTCATTGGTCGACTTCTTTAACACAACACACTTTTATACAGATTGAAAAGGTGTCAAAGTTAGTAGCTGCAAAGTCAATTCTTGCAGATGATTTTATCTTAAAAGATTTCAGAAAACAGATCTGAAATACCAGGTTTTGTTTGTCAGCTATGTCAGGGATATTCAGAACAAGAAAAAAATTATAATACAAGAGAGTTCAGATATATACTTTATGTGGCTGGCCTCTGTTGCAAGATTGTACAAGTTAAGTGCAAAAACTAAGTCTGTCCAAAGATCCATACTAGCAGAGTTTCAAGCTTCTGCTAGGTAAACTAGATAGAGCATTTATTATACAGCAAGGGCAACACTAAAGAAAAAGAAACAGATCTATGATGAGTACACAATAACAGTATCATAAGCATCACTTGAATAGAATTAAAAAAACTGTACAAATATGCATTTCAGCTATTCAGAATGAATACATGAAGAAAATTTTTTATTTCCCCAAAGTCTACTATACACATTGAACTGGTGGTAGCTTGTGTGTTGGCCCTACACTACCATGTGAATCAGGTAACGCACCCCAAAGATACTCAACCAAACATTTACAGAGGAGAAGTTGAAAAGGCAGGTAAAACATACTCCTGCTTTCCCCATGAGCATTCTCGAGCCATCAGTATTGGATTTTCACATTTAGTCACCATGTGTGTCACAGCAGATGCTAAAGCAGTGTCAGCTAACAATGTGTCATATACTCAGAAATAACCACTGAGGCTGCAGTCAAGCATTTTTGACCAGCAGACCTTGTGCTTCAATCTCTTGACCCTGTGGATGCTGTCGAGTAGTGTGAGAGCCATGAGTGTAGGGGTCTCTTGTCTCTCTGTCAACCCTGGGACCTGTGGTAGAAAGCAAAGCAGGACCCACACCTCACTGTCTACTAGGCTCCAGGTGGGGCTGACACTGTGGCACCCAGGAGCGTGCTGGGTGGGCCTCACATGCTACAGGTCAGCCTGTGCTCAGGCAGTAGCAACCTGGTGTGGTGTTGTATACCCTTGAGTCAGAACTGACTTTCCAGTGGGTTTTCAGAGGCAGTAAAACTCACGGAGATTGCCCATCTTTCTCCCACAGAGCAGCTGGTGGATTTGAACCACATCCCTTTGGGTTGCTAGTGCAACTCCTTACCACTAGGCCACCAGAGCTCCAGCCTGGCATGCAGCCCTGCCTAGTCCTCCACAGGCCTTCTCATAAGGTGTCAGGGAGCAGGTCAAATATAAGATGCTCTACTGCTCTCAGGCCCCCAGTAGAATGCCCCAGAGTAAGTTGTTTCCTTTCTGATTACCACAGTCCTGTCAAATTCAATCCAAGCTTCTTGACTATGGCTTATGTCTTTATTATGCAAATGTATTGGCATGGGCACACTACTTGTGAGGAAATATAGTAGCTTCAGTTCCAGATTTGGAGAGGAATTTAGGACAGTAGTCTTTGCAATTCCTTCAGTCTCTGAAGGTCCAGTCAGTATGGATTGTCTCAGAATCTGGAGATCTGTTCTGCATTTTGGTTCCTATTTATTAGGCTTCATCTGTTGTGTCTCTGATCAGAACCTTCAGCACCAGTAGTCAGATACCTAGTTCTTCTGGTCTCAAGGTGGAGGAAGCAGCAGTTAATGGAGACAATTTCTCCAGTAGCTCAGTTCCTTCTCTTATTCTTGGGTTTGCTTCTTTTTTCTTTTGCTCCAGATGAATGAAGACCAATAGTTGTATCTTAAATGCCCACTCAGAAGCGCTTCCCCCCCACATTTTACTTTTTACTGTGCTTTGAGTGAGGAAGTTTACAAAGCAAATTGGTTTTCCTCTCACCAAGTGATACATGTTTTGTTATATGGCATTAATTATAGTCCACACATTGTAGTAATACTCTTCCCACTTCATCCCAGTGACTCTTGTTTCCACTCACCCTTTCATCCTATCTCTTCCTGTATGTCTTCTGATTTTTATCCCTGGAAAAATGCTATCCTTTTAACCTTGTATGGGTGAATATCATTCATAAGCCTTTAAGACCCTGTATACTTCTTACTGCCAAGATCCATCTAAAATTAGCTATAATATCCCTAGTACCATGACCTCTTCTAAAGCCTGCACATCTGGCAGTTCTGATGGTGAAGAGATTGAGATAGTTAACAGTTTTAGGTTATTTGGTTCCACAGTCAACAGTCTTGGTAACAGCAGCCAGGAAATCAGGAGACGAATTGCAATGGGAAAGTCAGCAGTGAGGGACGTCTCAAGAGTACTGAAGAGCAATGATGTCAGTATGGAGACTAAGGTGCGCCTGATCCAGGCTATAGTCTTTGCAATTACATGCTATGCATCAGAGAGTTGGACAGTGAACAGGGATGATAGAAAGAGAATTGATGCCTTTGAGCTATGGTGCTGGAGAAGAGTGTTGACTGCTAGGAAAACAAACAGGTTTGTCCTGGAGAGGGTGAAGCCAGAATGCTCCTTGAAGTCAAGGATATTGAAGCTTCGTCTGACATAATTTGGGCATGTTGCAAGGAGGGACTGGTCTTTGGAGAGGGACAGCATGTTTGGGAGAGTGGAGGGACGGTGCAGGAGAGGAAGACCCTTGATGAGATGGATCAATTCTGTGAGTGGAGTGGTGGGAGTGAGTGTGTTTGAGACGGCAAGGTTGGCACAGGATAGAATGGCGTTTAGGGCTCTTGTACATAGGGTTGCTATGAGTCGCAAGTGACTTGATGGCACAACAACAACATACTTCTTACCATACTGCAAGTGAAGACAGGTAGAACATAAACTTTAAGAGCTATGTTAGGACAATTGTCCCATGAGACCATGACCCTAAGCCCCCGAAGCATGAGAACTAATCCCTTTGTATGACTGTTTTTTATTAGTATTGACATCTTTAGCTGGTCTCTCTCCTGTTTTTTTTTATTATTATTGTTGCAAAATGGATGTTTCATCTTGATTTTCAGGTGGCAGTTGGTGGGAAATGGCTGTGCCTGTCAGAGGGGGACCCTTACCTGTGATTTCCTATCACTTCTTACTGATTAACATTCTCTCCTACAGATTTTACCCAACACCTTATAACATCACTCCCAACAGGATGCTTGCTCAGTCAGCACTGTCCCCATATCTTCCATCTCCTGTGTCATCATATCAGGTATGTTCACATCTCCTTTCTCCTCAGAAAAATTCTGGTGGTTTCCCCTGTCATTGTGTTGCTGGAAATTGCTTGTTAACTTTTTAGGTTTTTCCTTTATACACATTAAACTTAAACTCAGGCCCACTGTGTTAAAATCACTTCCAACTCTTGGTGATCCTCCATTGAGTTTCTGAAGCTGTAAATCTTAGTGAGTGGAGATTCTCTCCTGATGACCGATGGGCTGGTGTATTCGAACCTTTTGGTCACCACTAGGTTCTATTGATACATATTCTACATGAAATTTTAATGTGAAAGCATAAAATGTAATTACGTAGATGTCTTGATAGCCAGAGACCATTTTGGTGGCATCCCTTTGTTCTTCCCTATTTTGCTTTAGCCGTCTTCTTCCTTTCCTTCCACCCCTCCTGTAAATACTCATGCTGATTACCTAGTATGTATCATCTTCCATATTTGTCTTCCTGTGCATGTATATGTATGAATAAAGTTTTAAAAATCATTGTTTTGCAAAAATAAAATCATATAAATACATATTTTTTCATAAGATAATTTTATCATAATAAGATATATTTTTTAATATCTCACTTTTCCCACTTAACAGTATCTTAGACCAATAGTTTTCAAAGTCAGGCCCCTGGACTGGCAATACTGGAATCTTACAAAGAATGAGACTGGGAGGCAAGAACTTGCATTTCTACCAATGCTGACTCTTGCTGCTGGTCCACAGACGATGATTTAGAAAGAACTGGTTTTTACTGTACAGAATTTTAGATTTAGATTTGTATTTGTAATTAAATAATGTCTTTCTCATGTGGAGCTTTTGAATTTCCTGTCTTAAATTTAAAGGCCTCTTTAGTCCTGGTAACAGAGAGGGTTTCATGTACAGCTACTTACCATGTTTTTATTTATTATCAGCAAAAGAAATAAGCTTTATGTCTTCTTTTACAACTTTAAACCAGTTAGGTTCTTAGCTCACTATATTTACTTGAACTTACAGTAATATGTTTTAATAGCAACATAATAATAGTTTTCATATTTTAGTAGTTGTTGTTGTTGTTGTTATGTGCCGTCGAGTCACTTGCGACTCATAATGACCCTATGTACAACAGCTCTAAACTCTGCTCTGTCCTGTGACAATCTCATTGTCTCAGACACACTCATCCTGATTGCCCCAGTCACTGAATCAACCCACCTCCCAAAGGGCCTTCCCCTCCTGCGCCTGCCCTCCACCCTCCCAAGCATGATGTCCTTCTCCAAGGACTGGTCTCTCCTTACAACATGACCAAAGTATGTCAGACAAAGCCTCAGAATCCTTGTCTCCAAGGAGCAGCCTGGTTTAACCCTCTCTAGGATGAATCTGTTTTCTTAGCAGTCCATGGTACCTCAACACTCTTCTCCAACACCAAAGCTCAAAAGCATCAGTTCTCCTTCTATCCTCCCTGGTCATTGTCCAGCTCTCTGACTCATAACAAGTGATTACAAAGACCACGGCCTGTACCAGACACACCTTTGTCTCCAGAGATACACCGTTGCTCTTCAGTACTTTAGAGAGGTCCCTAACAGCAGACTTTCCCATCGTAATATGTCTTTTAATTTCCTGGCTGCTGGTACCAAGAGGGTTGATTGTGGAGCCAAGCAAACTAAAGCTGTGAACAATATCTCTTTACCATCCATCCTGATGCTGCCAACTGGTCCAGTGGTAAGAATCTTTGTCTTCTTGACATTGAGCCTCAATCCAATGTAAATTTTTAGTTTTTATACTAGTCTTTATTATTTGAAATAATTTTTTTCTAGTTCTATTTCTTTTCTCTCCCCCCTCTAGCTCTATTTTACTTTTTTTTTTTTTAAATTGAGGTTTTTATTGAAGGTGTACAGAGAACTTGGATTTCCATTCTTTCATTGTGGCACATTTTCTTCTCTACCAGTTCACTTTTCTCTTTGAAGAAAAAAAAAATCTTTCCATTGTTGTACAATCTATTTTACTTGGAGATGTTTTTACAAAGAATGGCTGCTGAATTTTGTCAGATGTCTTTCAGTTTGTTGTTATGTGCCATCGAGTCACTTACAACTGCTCTGAACCTGCTCTATACTGTGCAAAGCTCATCTTCCCTGACATACCCAACCCATTACCCCACTTATTGAGTCAATCCATCTCATCCTTTCTCATCACCTTTCTCTCCTGCACTGTCCCTCCACCCTCCCAAACATGATGTCTCTTTCCAAGGACTGGTACCTCCTTGCAACATTTCTAAAGTATGTCAGATGAAGCTTCAGAATCCTTGCCTTCAAGGAGCAGCCTGGTTTCACCCTCTCCAGGACAAACCTGTTTGTTCTCCTGGCAGTCCATGGTATATTCAATACTCTTCTCCAGCACCACAGCTCAAAGGCATCAATTCTTCTTTCATCCTTAGACATTGTCCAGCTTCCTGATGCATAGCAAGTGATTGTGAAGATCATGACCTGGACCAGGTGCACCTTACTTTCCAGACTGACATAGTTGCTCTTCAGTACTCTGGAGAGGTCCCTGATAGCAGATTTTCCCAATGCAATTTGTCTTTTGATTTCCTGGCTGCTGGTACCAAGAGTGTTGATTGTGGAGCCAAGCAAGCTGAAGCTGTTAACATGATACTATCCTTTGGGGTTTTTCTCCTTCAATTTTGACTTTTGTTTATAGAGTTTCTGATCTTAAACAATCCTTTTATCTTTTTTTAATCTTTTATCTTTATCAGCATGGTCTTAGTGCTACATTTCTATCTTCTTATTGAATAGATAGGGAGCTCTGATAGCCTCATTGTAAGGAATTGTGCTGCCAACTCAAAGGCAGTTCATATCCACAAGCTACTGTATAGAAGAAAGCCTAGCAATCTCTTGCCATGTGATTTACAGCCTCTGAAAACCTAGTGGAAAGTCAGCTATGAGTTGATTCCAATACTATGGTGCGTAACAACAACCTTTTATATATATATATGATAAAATTTATGTACATATTTATGAGGTAAAAAAAGATAAAATTTTCATATCACAATGTCTCAAATGATTTTTCTTATTCTGGGCTTTTTTTTATGAAATATGGATGAATGTGATTCCCTAATCATGTTACTAATAAATTTTTTGAACCTCCCTTAAAAAATTTGCATATAATAAAATTCACCTTCTTTTTTTTTTTTTTTGAGAATGAAATCCGTTTTATTACAGCTGGGGAGTAGGTTGTACAAAGTCTCAATAGGAGGGGCAAATACTAGCTAAATCAAGAGGGCAGAGGCAGGAGGCCCAGAAACTATACTGTAAGACTCTGAGTGGGTACAAAAATGGTAAATATGGCTTTATCCTACAATTCCTGTAAGTCCTTAGAGGTCACTCATGAAGACCTTGGGGCCCTGAAAGGAAAGGTCTTCCTCATCAATGCTCTGGGCCTGGAGTTGAAAGCTGTTTGAGCTCCAGGTTAGGAAGGGTGCTCCTTGGGAGATTCAGCTGGTCTCTCAGCAACTTCAGTTCTTCTCGAAGAATCTCTGACTCCTCCCACAGTAATTGCCGCTCATTCTGCAATTCCTGGTGTCTTCCACCGGTAGCATTGTACTTTCCTGATCTTGATTGTATGTGGGTTTGAGTCTGGGCTTGTTCCTGCACCTAGCTATGAAGGCCCTGCAGTTCCCTTCTAAGGCTTTCCAAGCGTTGTTCAAGGATGCAGACTTTCCTTTCTCAAAATTCACCTTCTTAAAGTACACAATTTAGTGGGTCTTCCTATATTTAGAAAGTAATGCAGCAGTTACCCCATCTTAAATCCAGAACATTTTATCATCCCAAAAAAAAAACGCTGTCCCCAGCAACAGTTGCTCCCATTCTGCCTGCCCACAGCCTCTGGCACCCAATAATATTCACTCTGTCTGAATTTGCCCATTCTGGAAATTTCATATAAGTAGAATCATAAGCAATGAGGTCTTTCCTGACTGACTTTTATGTGGTACATTTCAAAGTTAACCTTTGGTATACAATATGGATGAGTATTTCATTCCTTTTACAACCCAGTAGCATTTCATTGAGTGGATTTACCCAACCTTTGTATTTATCCTTCATCTATGGGTGAACATTTGAGTTGCTTCCTCCTAGCTTTTGGCTCCTATGACCAATGAGGCTGCGAACTCATGCACCTCAGAGATGCTGAGAGTTCTTTCCAGACACTGCAATAAAGCAAACACCACAATAGAGCAAGTCACACATTTGTTTGTTTCCCAGAGTATATAAAAAGTTATGTTTACCTTATAGTGTTATTTCCACAATATAGCATTATTTAAACATTTGAAATATTGGGTGAATTCCCAAAATGTGACACAGATACACAGAGTGAGCACATGCTGTTGGAAAATGGCATCGATAGGCATGCTTAATGATAGAGGGTTGCCCAAACCTTCGGTTTATAACAAAACAAAAAACTCAGTTCTCATCTTATTGTGTTACTAACTTTGCTACAGTGATCTAGAATGAAACCCGCAGTATCTCCAAGGTGTGCCTGTATGTGTACCCATGCTGCAGTTTCTCTTGTGTGTATACCTAGGAGTAGAATTGTTGGGTCACATGGTAATTCTATTCAACTTTCTAAGGAGTTGCTGAACAGTTTTTCAAAGTGGCTACACCATTTTACGCTGCCACTATGAGGATTTCAGGTTCTTCACATCCTTCTCATCATTTTTATTTTTTGTTAATTCATTCATTGTTGCACATATTCTTCCCTCTCCTGCCCACCCCCCTCCTACTCCACTTTGCAGTGCACCTCTTGTTCCAGATTGTTGTCATACGTATAATGTCTAATCATATGTTCCTTTCAGACTGTTTGTCCCCTCATCTGTTCCAATGCAACGTTAGTTATTGCAGTGCTATTGTCCATCCTTTTGAGTCTAGATGATGTGAAGTAGTATCTCATTTTGCTATTTCCCTGGTCACTGACAAGGAGCCTTGGTGACATGGTGCATAGTGTTTTAGGCTGCTTACTGAAGGTTGGTAGTTCAGATACACCAGTTGTTCTGACAGAAAAACACAGGCTCCTCCTACAAAGACCTTCCTCGGAAACCAGATGGAAGGGCACTGTGAATGGTACCAACTCCATAGTCGTTCTTGATGTTAGGTATCGTTAAGTTGAGTATGACCCATAGTGACCCTGTGAACCACAGATCAGAACCCTGTCCCGTATTCTGCCATACTCACGATCTCTGTCACACACAAGCCCATTGTTGCAGTCACTGTGTCAATCCATCTGGTTAAGGATCTTCCTCTCTTTCACCCACCCTCCACCTTCCCAAGCATGATGTCCCTCTCCAAGGAATAGCAACGCCAAGTATGTGAGACAGAGCTTTATTATCTTTGCCAGTGGGTGTTAACCACGTTGAGCCTTGTTACATGTGCTTATTGGCCATTTGTGTATGTTTGGAGAAATGTTTATTCAAATCCTTTTTCTAATTGAGTTATTTAGTTGCTAATACTTTTTTATAATTTTTTTTAAGTTTTATTATTTTCTGTGTGTTTACCATCAAATTGGATCTGACTGGTACAGGAGGAGATTGTTCCTCATTCTTCAGCAGAGCATCTGGTGGATTCGAATCGTGCACCTCTGGGATTGCAGTGCAGCTTCTTGCCACTAGGCCACCAGAGCTCCCTTAGTTGCTAATATATTTTTTTAAATTATTTTTATTATTTTGTGTGTGTGTACTGTCAACTCGGATCTGACTGGTACAGGAGGATTGTTCCTCTTTCTCCAGCAGAGCATCTGGTGGATTCGAACCGCTCTCCTCTGGGATTGCAGTGCAGCTTCTTGCCACTAGGCCACCAGAGCTCACCTAGTTGCTAATATTTTTAAGCAGCTTATTCTTTTTAATTTTTAGAAACAATCTACTTTTATGAGTTGTTCGGTTGGTTTGTTTTTTTCCCCATGAGAATGATGTTCAAATTTAGCTGAACATTTTATCAGATCAGTAGTGTGCAGCTGCTAATGTTTGTGTTTTTGTTTGCATCAGAGAGTGACTCAGACATCTCCTCTGCAAGTACCTAACACATCTTGGATGCACCACCAGTCATACCTCATGCAGCCTTCAGTGAGTGTTCAGAAGGGGGCAAAAACCAAAGGGAGAATTTCATTTAAAGAACGATGGGATTTGATAACAGGGCCCGTGGACATAGACTCTTCTACCACCCAGCTCAAGGACCTTAAATCCTGGGAGTTCTTTGTCCTTGGACCAGAGTCCTTCCCAGCTGATGGGCAGAGTGCCTGGTCTGTGTGTATGTAGTTGAGCGGCGGCTCACATATCATTCAGTCCTCAGAATTTTAAAATGTCTGTCTTCAGCAGTACCATCAGACCTTGTTTTAGGCAGGCTGTCAGCATTCTATCAACTAACCTACTCTTTGTTTCTACCTGAAGGGTTCCGTTCTGACTCCAGGGATGGATCACCCCCTTTCTCTCCAGCCTGCCTCCATGATGGGACCTCTTACCCAGCAACTGGGCCATCTTTCTCTCAGCAGCCCGGGCACGGTAAAGCAAGATATTGCAATCTTGCAGAACAAGGAGTTCCTATATAATACTTTTCTGAATAAAGACTGAATACTTATCCAGGGCAATAGGAATCACTTCAGCATAGTTGAGGGCACTTCCATGAAGTAAACACCAGTGATTCAGGGATATAGTGTGGCTCAGCTCACCCTTTTTAACTGATTTCTGGTCACGAAGTGAAATGAATAGTGTTTCTGTCTATATGCTAGTTTTATCTAGGAGTGGATACACAATTGCTAGAAATCCTAATGAAAATAGTAATAAGAAGAATAGAAGAAGTGCATTAATTTTTTATTTGCTGAGGGCTTAGGAATGGAGAAGGCAGAGGAGGAAAGTCTGTCAAGCAGGTAGAAGTCTTCCTAAACCTGTGTATTTTAGAGCCAGCTGAAATGCTTTTACGAAGTTAATGCCCAAATCAGTTATATCAGAATCTCTGGGGGCGTTAAGAATGGCATCAGAAATTTATAAAGCACCGCAGGACTCACTTTTCTGTTTTGTCTTTTCATTCTTAGTATATGCCAACAGCCACAGCTATGCAAGGAGCTTACATCTCCCAGTACCCCCCTGTGCCTTCTTCTAGTGTTTCCGTTGAGGTAAGAACAACTTTCTTGTGTCATTGCATTGAGGATGGGAAACTGAACAGATTTGCCCCTGAGGAATCTTTTCCCCTCACAGTGAGCTGATTCTGTGTTAACATAGAACAGCAGGAATGTGCAGAATATGGGACGATTAGTCAGTGCTTGTGAATGAGGCCCTTCTTCAGATTTTGCAGCAAGATTGTACTGACCAGTATGTTTTGGGAAGAGTGTTGGGAAGGTGGGGATGGGGCAGACCAAGGAGGGCACTCAATTTTGAGGGGATGTTAAATAGGCTACTTTAGTATCAGGTGAGGGAAGGAAAGCACAGAGTGACTGTCCTGCCTTGGCTGTGGTACAGGAGAGCAGCGGTCAGCAGACACAAGTGACAGTGGATACTCCCTCAGACCATGGGATCTATTCTTTCCAGTACAACAAGTAACAGTGGGTAAGAATTAATTGCTGGGGAGTTTGCAAGGGGAAGGCTCCTGAACTGGGAGGTGGCAGTCTAAAAAGTCAGGCAGGTTCTGTTTGTTACTCCTTCTCTCAACTGGACCCCTCTGGTTTATGCCTCCTTCAGAATGGCCCTCCCTTCTTTGCTGGGAATACTACTAGTTTGTTGTTGTGTACTCTACAGTCAGAACTGATCCAGAGCTGACCCTTCAGTGGGTTTTCAGAGCCATTTAATCACATGGGAGGAAACTGCTTCTCTTTTTCTTGTGGAGCAGCTAGTAGATTTGAACCAAGTACCTTTGGGTTGCTAGCACAACTCTTTGCTACTAGGCTGTCAGAGCTCCCAGGGGATGCTACTAAGATGTAGAGATGAATTCTGGAGAGACAGATGTTCCCAGACTCTATGAGGTTAACCAGAAATGGAAACCATTGTGGGCCCTGCTAAAGATTAACACTTGGCCACCATTTTTCAAACATATGTTGGGGCCTGTAAAAGAACACCTCTGTACTCCTGCCCTGTGTTGCAAGCAGGGAAATTAATTTTGACTTCTTTCATTTTCAAAAAAGGTTTTTTGTTTTTGTTTTGTTCTATTTTTGTTTTAAATTATATTCTTTTCCTCTCCTAAAGGAACATAATCACTAGAACCTCTTCTCAGCTGTATAACAATCACTTTTTTATATTTTGGAATTATTTTGGGGGCATTTTAAGTACTGTAAGGACCCCTGATGGTGTAGCGCATTATGAGCTGAGTTGCTGGCCTAAAGGTCAGTGGTTGGAATCTCCTGACCACTCTATGGAGAATATGACCCAGTCACAGCCTTGGAAACCCAACATGGGGTCACCATGGGTGGGAACTGACTCAACCATCGTGGATTTTGGTTTGATTTTAAAAACCATTTATATATAATTTTTAAAAACATCATAATGCTAGAACTTCGAGGAGTCCACTGGATCATTCTCATTGAGTTGTGGACTTTGTGCATGTGTAAGAAAAGATGCAGACTCTTAAAATTTTGGGTTGGTTTTTTTTTTTAAAAAAAAAAACCACCAAACTGCTCTCATACCCTGTCTTCTCCACACATCTTAAGCGTTCACTCATCCAGATTGTTCTTTTTCTCTTCCATACAGCAGAGCCTTCCTATTTCACCTTTTAACAGTTTTTGATTTTGTGGATGTCTTTTCTGAATTAAATTTTGTATGGAATATTTTGGCTGCTGGGCAAGGAACAAAGTGGAGCAAGCAGGTGATGGAAGTGGCTTTTCCTCCTCCTGCCCTGCCACCTCCTGGGAGAAGACGACTAGCCTTTGACCTCAGGAAGTGGAGATAAGATCTAGACTCATGAAAGACAATCCCATAGCCTCTGGAAGCCAGCCAGCCACCCTTGAGCCAAATATGGATGAAGACTCAGTCTTGGCTGGCAAGTTCCACAAGAATGAACTTCGTGACTTCTGACTGACTTCTCACTGTGGGGCCGGCATCCCTGAGGAAGTGTCTTTTGCAGCTAAAACTCTTCAGGAATACTTCTTTCCTGCTTTCTAAGGGATCTTTTTTCTGCGCTAGGCCCCATGGCCACACTCTTCCCCTTTACACATTGTTGTGCCCAGAGCGGTGACCACTTAGGCTCCTTCCACATTCTGGGAGGATCGGTTCTACATCAGGAGACCAGTGGTTCTCAGCTGGACATTTGTGGCCTCTCGGGACATCTGGCAATATCTGGAGACACTTCTGGTTTCTATACCTGGGGGGTGCTACTAGCAACTCATGAGTAGAGATCATAGATGCTGCTCTACTAATAACATCCTACAGTGCACAGTACAGGTCCCCACAAGGACAAATTATCAGTACATGATGTCAGTGCTGCTGAGGTTGAGAAACCTCGATACAGTGTTGTGCCTGCACAGTAGGACTTGGGATATTCGCCACCCCCTGCCCTGGACACACCGTGCCTTTGGACACACAAGCAGTTAATTGAGACACACAGCTGGGCTTCTTGAGTTCTCCTCGGGCTTTATCCTTTGGCTCCTCTGTACCTAGCTAGAGCTGTCCTTCAAAGGCGCATGGCTGTGTGCACCCGTGCCCCATGTACAGAGCAGCGCTGGGGAAGTTCAGAGCCGTTTCATGTGTGTGGACTGTGCTACAGAGCGGGGCTGGGGAAGTTCAGAGCCGTTTCGTGTGTGTGGACTGTGCAGGGCTGGAAAGGACAAAGCTCTCTCTCCCTGAGTTGCCCCGCCTTGTTTGGGTCCCTTTCCCAGAGAACCTAACGTGTCAGAAATAATTTTCCTTCTTGTGGAAGGACAACAGGGAACTATGCTAGAAAATGGCAATAAATCCCATCTCAAGGTCAGGAGTCCTAAAAAAGTCTACATCTTGCTCTTTAATGCAGTCTCTTTTTGTAAGACCTAACTCTGTACACATGGAGACATACAGATAGAAAGCCTTTGCCTATCTTGAACTCCCTTACCAGGGAAGGAGCCCTGGTGGAGTAGTGCTTAGCGCTTGGATACCAATCAAAAGGTTAGCAATTCAAACCTACCAGCCGTCCTACAGGAGAATAACATGACAATTTGGGTCTGTAAAGGTTTACATCCTCGCGAACCTTATGGGAAGTTTTACCCTGTTCTGTAAGGTTGCAGTGAGTTGGAATCAACATGAACACCAACAGGTTTGGTTTGGTCACTTCAAGCCAGCTGCTCTCCACCAGACAATCAGGACAGAATGCCAAATAATGGTGAATGAAAAGCAGGTGTTCACTAGGAGGGCTGAGGGAAAAGGAGCTGTAGCATCTGTCATTACAAGTAATTTGAACCCAGCTTTTTCTCCTCCCTTGCACCCCAGAACTGAGAGTCCAACACTCCCTACACACAGACTGTCCTTTTTGCAACCTGGAAGTAAGGAAGTGGGGGCGGTGAGTATATAAAGTATGGAGGACAAAATGCCACTATGAAATTTCTCAGAGGTGCTTCCAACCTCCCGAAGGGCTTATATACCTTCCAGAAGAGTTTGGGTGTGGAGATAGGTCCTGTTCGTGCGCTCTAGCCCTCACTCAAGCAAAGTACACCAGAGTCACTTTATCAGTAAAAAAACACCCAGAAATCTGGTTCATCTGATAGTACATTTGGGGAGCTTGGCTCTGGTAAGTTTAGCACAATGGGGGGTCTTTTCATGTTGTTACCATCGCTGGTTCTCTTTTCCTTACAAAACTTGAGACCAGTTTACCTTCTTTGTATTTCAAACAAACACACACAACACGTTTAAATGGCCAGGACTTTTTAGTTACCATTTTTGTGTTTTCCTCATGTGAATCTAGTCAGTAGATTCTATTATTTCAGGCCTGGGCATGTGAAATGATGGGGAGTCTGAAGTTATTTTCAGTAGTAAATGGCTAATGGCACTGAGGAATTTTTTTGGTGCTTTTGGGTTACACTCATTTATTTTTCCTAGTTACTCATTTCTCACATACTGCAAAAAGGTCGGAGAAGGAATAAGGGGTGCTTGGGGCTGGACTCCTTAAACACTACATTTTATTGAGGCTGAAGAGGCCATTTTATATTGTGCCTAGCGTTTCCTGAACCCTGCCTTTGTGGAGCCCAGATCTTACTCTGTCTTCAAAACTCTCCCCAGCTCATCACAGATGCTGGCAGTATTCTTTATTTTAGGATTTGGTGCTTTTTTCTGTCTTCAGACAGATACACTTAGATGACATAGCTCTTTATGCTTATTATACTGTCCATCTCATCTCATGCTGGTGTTGTCACTCCTCTCCTCAGCCTCTGGGATGGCACAGCCTGAACTGGCTGGACTTTTTGAAAGTTAGTGGCATTGTTGGAATGAACAGCAGAGAGAAAATTTTTTAAATTTTTTTTTTCTTCAAAATTTATTTTTTTGTGTGTGTGTGTACCATCAATCAGATCTGACTGGTACAGGAGGAGATAGCCCCTCCTTCTCCAGCAGAGCTTTTGGTGGATTTGAACTGCGCACCTCTGAGACTGCAGTGCAGCTTCTTGCCACTAGGCCATCAGAGCTCCCTCATTTTAAAAGATTTTTAACCAGAGTTTGAAGAACTGCATAGCCTAGGAAGCATGCTGGGTCTGGAGAGGTAACTTCAATAATAGGGAGGACACAGAAGACGAAGACCAGACTTTACTGTTCTAGAAGACCATTCCTGAGTTGAGCCACTTCGGTTCACTCCTGTTCCTTTCTGAGCTGTTCGTCAGTAAACTCTTGTACTTCACTTGGTGCCTCTAATGTCAGCCTCCTTCAGGCTGGAACCTATATGTAGTTTATTATTTTGCACCAAGAAAGTGCTGAGGTCTTGCTGAAATGTTGCAGGAACCACAGATTACTAGTCTTGAAAAGGAACTTCTGCTGCCTGCTTGACCTCATGCCCTACCTTCTCAGAGTGGCAAGGCTGCAGCACTCATGAGGATAAAGTCCACATTCACCCTGTGGCTCTGCTAGACCTGGCCCAGAGAAGAGGGGTTATTAGGAAAGTCAGCCTGCGAAGGGTAGATTTTTAAATTCACTGATGGCTTCCCAATTCCCTTTCCCAGAAACTTCCTGTTGCTACTTACATTTTAGGTCCTTATAAACATTAGCAGATCCCTAAAGTTACACTATCAAGCTCCACCTTTTCCTCCCCACAGTGGATCTTACTTCAGCAGCTGAGACCAGCCAATGAGCTCTTCTTACTTGCATTCTTAGCTGGATTTTGCTGTCCCTCCCTTGGGCTGGTCCCATGTATAATACTGAAAAGGCTGGGCATCTTTTCTCTCGTTCAAACAACTCTTTCTCCTTGGTTTCTCTGTTTTGAATAAACCTTCATTATTTTCCAAGCATGACTTTTTGTCCTTGTTACACATCTACCTCACAATCTCATGGTTGAACAAAGGCACAGGCGCCTGGTTTATGGCTTTCCTTTATTCATTCTGTCCTTCTCTTCCTATGTGTTGGGAAGCTGGGGGCTTACATAGGGTTCATGATCCAATACAAAAATTTTGATTGTCTATTTCTAGAATGTCTTTTCTGGGACTTTTAGCTCACTCATCTCCCTAGGGTTGTGAACTCTCCAGCAGGTGCTGCTGTGGTAGGCCAGGGGTATAGATTTTGGATATTAACTTTTATCCCTTAAGACATTAACTGATGTTTGGGAACTGCTCCCAGGAATGCCAGAACAAATTTTAGCAATTAAAGGGCTAAAACAGTTGCCCAGCCATACAGGTGAGAGATAACCAAGCACCTTCTGGAAGGCAGGAGCGAGAAAGCAGCTACATGCACTTACTGCTCCACCTTAGTAACATCCAATTAGTTCAGATTGCTCACCAGACAGAGCTTCCCGCCTGGAGGGTAATGGAACTTCCCAGCCTGAGTCAACCAAATCCCAGCAGCATTACTGGTGTCTCCATGTTCCAGCACATACCTTTTATTTGGCTTTTTAGGGTAGACAGGTGTCTTCCTACATGCACCTATCACCTAGGACAGGAAATTTATACCCCAAACACATTTTGTACATTTTTTTCTTTATTCAAAAGTTTCTAGTTTTATGCTCTTTCCAAATCTATGCCAATGCCACACACTAAAGCTTATTCTTCCTTTTCTAAACCCTCATTCATCCCGAGTTCCTTCTGTACAATTTAGTAGTTACATTTTGTCTCATTTCAAGTTTTGTTTTGAAATAAAACACTAAAAAGTCTATTTTCTTGTTTCTTATCGCACATGGGAGGGAGGTGGGATGTTGGTGATAGGCCCATCTATTTGCTACTACAGGAACACCATTGGGATTATAAGAAGTAAAAACCCATGTCTAAAAAGACTATGGCAAGCAGAGATGCAGAATGCCGCGTTCCTCCAGAATGTCAGTCTGATTTCTAGGCAGGTACATAAACTGCCCCACTCGTATGTGCTAAGCTGTGAAGCAGGGGTCTTATTTCTAGATGCTTCTTACAGGGGAGCTCTGGTGGCCTAGTGGCAAGAAACTGTACTGCAATTCCAGAGGTACACGGTTCAAATCCACCAGATGCTCTGCCGGAGAAGGAAGGACAATTTCCTCCTGTACCAGTCAGATCTGATTTGACGGTACATGAACAACAACAAAAATAATGATAATAATAGATGCCTCTTATGGAAATTATGGGTGTATTGTACCCTTGCTCACCATCTCTCACACTAAACCAGTCATAAACCGTCCTAATACTCATGTCCCCTTCAGGCATATGAGAACCTATGTTGAAGGCAAGATAAATACACAGAGTCTTTCAATCTCTATCAAATGTGGTTTTTATTCAACGGACAAGCACTTTTCTACAGCTGCACTTGTGGAACATCACATGGCAAAAACAGGAGGTTTTTTTCTCTAGACTATTTTTTTCCTTTTTTAACCTTATTAAAAATGAGATTGGTCCTAAAAATATAGAAAGAAATAAATTTAAATTCACAAAAAACTGTACATTATCAAAAAGTCACTAAAACACCACATTTGGTTATATAAAAAGTCAGTCCCTTTTGTAAAAGGAACCTGGAAACTTGGTGGTGATGGTGTGGTTTCTTCCTGTTACCAGACTGATTGATGGGAGGAGGGGGTGGGTTATATTGTTTTGTTTTTAAATCTGCCTTCCCTACCAAAATACCCTATTTGTCAAGAAAAGAAAATCCACCTAGCTCAAGGGGCAGGTAAAGGTGAGGAAAGAAAAGTGAGAAATGGCCCCTTTGCTCAAGCCCTACTCCCTTCTGTCCCCATCTCTTCAAGCTGAGGCTAGGACCCCTATTCCACCTTAAGAGTGCCTGGTCCCTAGAGAAAGAGATGGAGCTGGGAGAGGAACACAAAGTAAGAACTGAGATTTCACTCCCTGATCCGTCTCACCTCCAATAATACAATTAATCTAGTACATTTTATAAAACTGCCATGGGGAAAGGGGCGTCCCATTCCTAACAGTTCCAAACATTTAACTAACACAAAGTCTGTTACAGCATATTTAGATAAAATATAAATATTTATGCATAATATAAAGTCAATCCAAATATTCTTCAATCCACCTCATATTAAAAAGCAAAACAAAATCTCAAATAAAATTAAAAGTTCTGAGGTTTATCTGACAGAAAAGGCGACTTTAGAAGTAGGTTGGTTATGAGGAAGAAGGAACACAAAAGAGTAAGGGGCTGCCCCAGGACCTACACTATCCCCTCCCCTTCGGCGGCTCTTCAGTGCTACAGAAGGACAAGGAATGCTCCACCTCACCTGACACCCTACCCCACCGAGGGAACGAGGGAACGTTTGTTGAATGCCTCAGCTCTGCTTGGGCCAGCCAGCAGCCACCTCCCCTGTGCAAGTACCCGTAATCTCTGATGGGAGGGGTTCTGCTAAGCAAGAAAGCAGGGGGGTTAAGAGTCCATGGCTATAGCTGGGAGTTAGCAGCTTTCCTCTCACATATCGGGGGATAAACCTGCGCATAGTCCCATGAAGGGCAGTGGTGGACCCAGAACCCCTCCTCTGTACTCTCCTATACTCCAGGGTCTCTGCTGCTGGGAAAAAGAGTCCTGGGATATAAAATAGGCAAGGAGCAAGGAAAGCACAACTTAAACCCACAGAAGCTCATGGGGTTGGGAAAAGATCCAGTTCTACCCCTCTCTCTGCAAAAGCTTAAAATTTCAAGCTACTGAGAGAGAGGAAGTTACTGCTGAAAGATTGCACAGTTTGAAGAGGCTGGAACAGAAATGACCGAGAGGAGAGAAATGACAGACACAGCCTTGTCTCCAGAGACACTGTTCCTTGTGGTTTCTCAAAGACTTTAAGTTATGGTGTAAAACAATGAAAAAGCTGGGAATAAAAACATATTGGGGAACCTGAACAAATATTTCAAACAATACAAGGGCATAATCAAAGTGTTCTCTCTCACACACACTTACACACACACACTTACACACACATAACCCTCTCTCTATTTCTCTGAGACCAGTCATTGCTACCTGGCCTCCATCTTGGGGGGTGCGCCCAAACTCAGCAGTAGTTGTCCCTGAGGAGTTCCCAAGAGGGAGGTTTGGGTAAGAGGTGGGGAAGGAGGCTAGAAGGCTAAAGATGCCTCCCTGTCCTCTCTCTCCAGCTACCGAGTTTCAGAAAAGGCTGGAAACTCAGCGTATGAGGAGCATCTAACACAGAAGGAGTAGCTATTGGCAGGAATATGGGCAGAAGCAAAGACAGGGACTACTGAACCTCTTTTTCCTGTGAAGGGAAAAAAAGATTTGGAAGAGAAAGAGAAGAACCCGTACACAATAGTTTTAGATTATTGAATGAAGAAAAATCTGAGAAAATGGAAGCCAGTGGTGGTGGTAGTGGTGGAATGAGAGAGAGGGGAGAGAAAAAAGAAGCAAGAGAGGGACTGAACATGGAAGCAGCATGTCCAGGGCCCGGTGTCCGGCTTGACACACTTAGGAGTTAAGTCCACTTTACTGGCCGTCACTGCGGGTCCGCACACAGTACAGAGTGTTTTCTCGGTTTCACACATTCACTAGAACTATTGCTATTAAATAGCCCCAGAAAGCTGGGGCACATACAGGTAAGGAGAGGGGAAGCTGGGAGGAAGAAGCAGGGATGCCTTTCTCCCTCCCAATCAGTAATTAGGAAATAAACCAGAAAGGATTTTTTTTTCTTCTTTTTTTGGCTTTTAGTCCACAAAGGACCTCATCTCTGCCCCTCTAAGCTGAGGAGGAAGGGACAGAGGGGTGTGGGGCACTGCCTAGGGTCAAGTAAAAAATCACAGCATATCTGACTCTTGAATCTGGACCCAGGGCAGCATCAGCAGGTGAGAATGGCAGGTTGGTTGGTTTGTTTATGGAGGGAGGAGGAATGCCACGGGTGACTCCCCACCCACCTTCCCTGCCTCACAGATTGGCCTGTTTTCCCTGATAAAACTCTTCCCAGCGGCTCTCAAAGAAGCGGCGCATGATGTGCCCCGCCTTGCCCACTTCAAAGTCATCCTCATTGAAGATCTGGCAGTTGTCAAAGACTAGGAGGGCATCAGCTGCAAATTCTTCAGAGCTGGTATACCCTCCCCGGAGGAGCCGTTCCCTCATGGTGGAAAAATCCATGGGGTTTTTGATGATTTGTCGGTAACCTCTCACCAAGTGTGGATTCACAGGCTCCAGAAAAGGCCATGCTGCATCATGGGACTCCATCTCCATTAGGATAATCTCACAAAATGTGAGATCACTGTGGTGGTTCCGCACAGAGAGTCGCCGCCGCTTGGTCGGGGACAGCCCTTCTGAATACCGAGGCACTGTGAGGCTTTCTCGGCCCCTTGATAGTACTCGACGTTGGCGGCCATCAGCCGCTGGGAAGTTCAGTGCATAACTACTTTTCCGTTTCTGGCCTCGCTTTGGGAAACCAGGCTGCTGAATTAATTCTCCCTCTACCTGCTGATGACGGAGGAACACAAGGTTAGTAAAAACTCTGTACTGTGTGGCTCTTCAGTCTAGATGTCACCAAGACTTTAAAATATACATACTTATTCACAGCACCCAAAAAAGTAGTTTTTTTGGTAAGAGTATGCCCATTTTATAGAAGCGTTTACAACTGTAGCATTTAAATGACTTGTCTAAAGGACCGGAACCCAGGTCTCCCAACAGCCGGCCTGGAGCTCTTTATAAGGAAAGGTTGAGGTTATGAAGAAAAGGGGGATTTTCAGGAGTAGTAGAAAGTAGAATGAACAAAGTCTCCACTTCTTGCCTGAGAAAGTTCTTACCTGTGCCAAACATACAGCACAGAACCAGTCTCCTTCTGGGACAGTTTCCATCTTGGGCCGATGGCAGTAGATGTGGCAGCCACGGTCACATCCATCACAAAGCAGAAGATACTCATCATTGTCACCCTTCCCGCAGACTAGACAGGTCACTTTGTTGACAGTCTTCTCCCAGGCAATGGACCGCTCCAGTTGACCCAGGCACAAGCACACTTGTGCTGCACTTCGGCACCGCTCCAGGGTCTGGCGCCAGGCCCGAATGCGAGGGGTGATCTCATATGATCTATAAAATGAATCGGTAAGTCTGTAAAATCATCAGTAAAAATGAAGATCTACTATAGAAGAAACTTGTCCCTTCTCCTCAAGACCAAGGGTAAGTATGAGGTGATCACTCACATCTCTGTGGTGGCGCACTGCGGCGCACCATTGGGTGTACTGAGCAGGGCCTTCTCTAATACAACTTCATGCGCTGACCAGAGGGGCTCCCGCAGGTACCGCCGCTCGACATTCTGCTCCAGTGCAGCCAGCCGTGTCACAGCCAGGTCCAGAGGGTTGTTAGTTTTACGCTGGGGTATCAATCCTTCCCTACACCGACCTCTCCAGGTGATATCTTCCTGGGAGTTGGGTAGATGCTCACAGTAGGCCAAGTCTTCACGGGTAGAATCTGGGCTAGGACATGTCCACCCCTGCAGGTGGAGAGGAATAATATCCCACATTATATAGTATGAAAATTAAAAATCAAAAGAAATGTGTCCCCCTTATCTTTATTTTTATCAAGGTACAGGAATTAATAATGCTTCCAACAGACAGCCTTCTAGTTGAAGACTTTCCCTGCATACCCGAATCTGCAAATCAGAAAGGATAACTCGCTGTTCCAGCTCCTCAACCCACTGAAGCACAGCCAAATCTGCCTCATATGTTTTCTCTTTGGAAGACCAACTCATCAGCCCTTCTTGAAAGGCAGGTAGCTGGCTCGGCTCAAAGATGGGATCTGGGAACAGAAGACAGAGGAAAAAGTCCATCAGGTCACTGGCAAGAAGAACAATTCAACATTTACCTTGGGCTCTTCAGGTTGGTCAGGTGTTTATCTTACCATTTGAGGGCCGCAGGCAGACTTCCTGCAAGAAGTCCCTGTGCTTGCTAAGGTGTTTGTGAAGGGCTTTCTCCCTGATGCCTCGGGGGTGCAGGGCCTTGAGTGTGGCATCCAATGTCTCGGGATCTTGAATCCACCACCAGCCTGAGCGCATCTCTGTGAGCACAGAGTATACATTTGTGGGTTGTTAGATGGAAGACAGGAACTAAGTGCCCACATCTGATGCCAGTTCTATGTATACTTTTCCTCCCCTGGATCACTCACCAGGGGGCACAGGCTGGGCTGTCAGCTGGGTTAGGTAACGCTGCTCCATCTGTTTGAAGAACTTACTGGGTGGTCTGCCTCTCCGTTTTGGCTGTCCTAACCCTGTGGGACTCTGTGGCATTTCTCTAAAGTCTCCTGCTTGCCTCTTTGGGGGTACCGCAGATAAGGGAGTGGAACAAAGTTGCACCGGAGAACAGGAATTGACAGCACTGGGTCTAATCACCTGTGAATAAGAGACATAAGGGGATGGGGGTATTTTCACATTTATTTAGACTTCAATGTCCCTATCCCTTCCTCCCACTTCAGGTATGAGTCTTCAGCCAGGCAAGGAGGTTTGTGGCAAGACGACACTCAAGTGCATAAGAACAATTCTGGATACTTACTGGCTTGGATGAGGCAGGATGCTGAGGGGAAGGAGTGGACTGGTCCTCAGGAACTGCGGGGGGTGGTGTAGGGGCAGCATTGCAGGGCATCTGGGCTGAGAAGCTAAGCCAGGGAGTCTGAGGATCAGGGTTGGATTCTGTTTCATCAGTTTCTGCCTCTTCCAAGGGCTGTGATGATGGTGGATCCAGTTTTCCTGGGCTACTATCAGGTGTGAGGACTGAGCTGCTCAACAGGGAGCCATGACTCTGAGTCTGGCTCAGCCAAGATAGGAAGGCTGACTGGCTAAGGTCATGTTGACTCTGACCTAGTGACAAAGGGGAACCTTCTGGTTCTAGAAACCCATTATGGGACGACGGGTAGGACTGAAACTGAGGCTGGGGCTGGGGCGGGGATTGGGTCTGAGGAAGGAGCTGAGGCTGGGGCTGGAACTGAGGAAGGAACTGAGGCTGAGACTGGGACTGGGACTTAGGCTGGGGCTGGGGCTGGGGCTGACACTGGGGTGGGGGCTGAGCCTCAGGCTGAGGCTGGAGCTCAGGCTTAGTCTCAGATTGTTCTGAATTTCGACTCTTGATAGGGGATTTAAGGTGCCTAGGTCTCATAGATACAGGCTTAGTTTTTCGAGGTCGGCCTCGAGCCCTGGCAGGAGAACCAACAGAGGTATTACAGTCTGCTAATTCCTTCTTCACAAAGAGGGATGAATTAGGTGCTGGATGGGCTGCCACCTTTAAGGAATCAGTTTCCTGCTTTATCGTATCTTCAGGAACTGTAAAGAGAAGTAAGAGCTTATGACATATTCTGATAAAGTGAAAGAAAGAGGATGTATATATAAACAGGGTATACATGTTCTTTTTCTTCCTACTCCCTTTTGAAATTCTACTAGAACAGCTTACATGTCAATGAACATAAACTCTTGGGAAGAAACACTAGTCCCAAGTAATCATCATACTCCTAAACTAACATTTCTTAACAACCAACTATACAATAAGCACTATTTTAAGAACATTAACTCATTTTAATCCTCTCAATTACCCTGTTAAGTATATTGTTGCTGTTGTATACTACAGAGTTAGAACCGACCCATAGCTGACCCTCCCGCCGGTTTGCAGAGGCAGTTAATTGCTCAGAGGAGAATGCCCATCCTTCTTCTGCAGAGCAGTTGGTGGCCTCAGGATAGCAGCACAAGTTCTTGCCACTAGGCTACCAGAGCTCCCTGTTAAGTATATTATGATCTTTACTTTATGTATGTATTCATTTGTAAACTGAAAAATGTACTCCACACCATTATGCTATACGGAGTTCTCACAAAATGAGGAAAAATTTAATACATGCAAAGAGAAGAAACAAAACACACACAAACTGGCATTGATTGCTGTTGTGTCAGAACTAACTCACAGGTGACCCTCCAGCGGGTTTTTGGAGGTTATAAAGACTATGGGAGGAGACTATGCCTATTTTTCAAGAAGAGCTCCTAGTGGACTTGAACTGCCAAAGAGGTGCCACCTTTGGATTAGCAATGTAATTCATTACCAGAGCTCCAATTAAAAAACAAAAACAAAAACAAAAAAAACCAGTGGTTTATTTTTGTTAACCAGGATTTCAAATGAAAGACTACCCCACACTTACGTAGAGTCCCCTCTGTTCCTTCCACAAAGATACCGGCCAGATAAGGCAGTACCCAATAGCGGCGTCTATAGCGATCTTGTCCCAAGGAGACAGCTCGAAGCATTTGGGATGAGAGAAGCAGTTTTTTGCGAAAGAAGAGCTGACGCTAGAAGTAAGAGAATAGATAAAATACATTTCTAGAAATTCAGTGATGAATTTCTCCACTATATGGATACAGGCAATGGCTCTTAGCTTCCCTATTAAATTGAAGCCTTTTGGGCCAAACACAGAATCTGATTACTTGCCCAGCCCAGATCTCTAGCTTCTGACAGTAACAAAACATATACCTTGCTGAGTTTTTCTACCTGGTGCTCTAGCTCTGGGATGCTGGATGCTGAAACATCAACCTAGAAAAGAAGTAAGTGCACAAGACAAGAGGAGCTAGCAAAGTCAAGAGATAAATAATCAGTTTCCCAACTTCCACCTTCCTCAGTCCAAGGACAGTACCTCTCCATCTCTTCGACCCCTACGGCCTCGGCCAACTACTATAGTATCTTCCTCCTCTTCTTCTTCCATGCCACTGGTTTCTTCCATGATCCGAGAACTGCGCCTCCGCACTAGGCCTTCCTCTGGGCTTTGTATCTCTACTTCAAGACGCCCAGTTCGTTTGGCCAGAGCAGTTTTTAGTCTTGAAACAGAGATTAAAGGGAACTGTAGTAAAGAACCTGGCACTGCCACAAAATGAATCCTCGCAATACAAATTATACCATTCTGAGCCCTGGTATGATCCCAACTCCAGGGAAGGCCAAAAGGGCACCAAGTTCCATGCAAAAGTCCTGGTTATGCCTATCTCTTTCCCTCCTCCTCTCCTCTTAAGCTCCACTTTCTTTCTTGTCCCTACCTCCGGAGCCGGCCTTCAACAATCCATTTGTTTTTCCTGTAACTGGACATACTCTCCAGGGTCTTGTCAATTTCACTACAGCAGAATAAGAGAAATGAGATTTTTAAATAAAAAAGGTAACACAAACTAAGAAGGCTAAAGGACAATATTGCAGTTGAATAGGGAGTTCTAATCTAGAACCCATATTGGATAAATGGCAAAGACTGTTAAGTTCTCCCAGGCAGTGCCCTGAGATTCAGTCCCAAGGTACTCCAGCATCTCGAGAGCATGGCACCAAACACATTACTCCAGGACTACAGAATGGATAATTCCTCCCCAATCCCATTCAGGCTGGCTCTGAGACAGGTGTAACTAAAGGTGCACATCCACTCCCAACCCCAGTCCCTCACTTGATGATAAGGGTGGAGCCATTAAGCTCATGCACAAGGAAGGCTAGGACAGCAGCCTTCTGTTGGGGTGGCTGGGCCTGAAAAGGCTGGGTGCGAAGGCTGTCACAGAGGGCTGGCTCCACTCCATATGCCATCAGGAAGCAGCGTAGGATCTCAGACACATTGTCCCTCGTCAGTGGGATCTCAGATACCTTCTCCCCCAAAATCTTTAGAGACTGTTTGAAGAAAAGCATAATAGGAGAGAGAAAAAGAGAAACAGTTTAGATAAACATGGAAGGGAGAGAGAATAAGAATTAGACAGAATTAGGGAGGTAAGACAGAGAAACACAAACAAAACACAACACTGGATCCTAAGCCCCTTTCAATCCCCAAGGAAAGGGCTTCACCTGACAATAGGAGGGCAAGCCAGGATCATAGAGTGCAGCCTTCAGGAGACGGACCAGCAGATCTTGCACCTCACCCGCGCTATCACCTTGGCAAAGGAGTCCCTCCTGTAGAACTCCCAGGCTTGGCACATCTTTGGCAGGATCAAAGCCAAGCACCTTGCCGAAACTGTGCAGGAACTCTATTATGGTCAAGCAATCTGAGAAAGCTCCACTAGGCAGTAACAGACCAGGGATGCGTGAGAAGATAGGCAGAGGCTGTAGGGATGAAAGAGATGCATTTTCATTAATGGAAACATCTTCCTAAGTATTCTCCCCACCTCCATACTTTTGCACTTGTTATGCTCCCTTCACTACCTGGTGGTCAGATAAACACATATCCTCTGTGGGCTTCTTCATCTCCTCCAAGATCATCTGCTGCCTCTGTCGTTCCTCCAAGCGCCTCTGCATGGCTAGAGTCTTATCTGCTTTACAAGTTGGCTTAGCTTTGGCCATCTCATCCTTTTCCTTCATTTTTATCTTCTCCTTCTTTTCCCGCTTGACTTTTTCCTTCAGTTTTTCCTGCTTTGTTTTTACCTTCTCTTTCTCAACCTACTCACCCACAGAAGAGAGGAAGAGTTCCATAAAGACTAGTCACTGACTTTCCCTGATCCCAGCCCTTCCAAAACTGGCAGACCAGAAATGTGAAAGATCATCTTTAAACTTTAAGCCAAAACTATTTCCTTAAATCTTCTTGAATGTAATCAATGACATGAAATTGTGTACACAGAAATTAGTGTTTCTCTTATTCATATTTTCAACAAAAATAATTTTTTTTTAAAATCCATGTGCAAGCATTTCTGCAAAGTAGTTGGATGGATTCAAGGTTATAGCTGGTGAGTGTGTACATGTACTCACCTTAGATTTCTTCTTCTCTTCCTTCTGTTTTAAGTTCTTGGGCTCTTGTTTTCGCTTGTTTCTGGTCTGTAAACCATAACAGAAGTAATTTCCCTCAAACTTTTAAAGTATCTGTTTGGCTATGATTAAGAAACAAGAGTGCTGGGGAAAAGTGAGATATACGATTCAAAGACAGCAATGCATTAATTCTCTGACCCTGGATATGCCCACATTATTCTCCAGTAAGCCCCATTCTCTAAATCAAACCCAAGAGGTTTCAAGTTAATAAATATGCTATACTGAAAAAGACAATTGTGGAAAATGAAAGAAAAGATGCAACAGGTTATAGGGAAAGTTAGTGACTTTCTCCAATGTATATCTCAGATGCAGCTTACCTGCCCTTGGACAGTAGTCTGGCATTCTCCACGCTGCACCTTCCGCCTCATCTTCTTTTTAATTTTACCCATCTTTTCTTTATCCTCCTCATTCAGTGTTTCTGTCATGTCAGAAAGAAAAATGAGAACGATCCCTGGCATTCAGGGCAGCACATGTCTGTCATAAAGTTGGCCCCTCAAACAACAAGAACAATTTAAGTTTTCTTTTTTTAAAGTATAAGGAGGTGAGGGTAGGAGCTGAGTGTAGAAGAGGCACTTGCTATATACACATAAAACACAAATGACATTTTTGCCCAGTGCTCTTGGATATAAGCAGAATGCTCTCAGTGTCCTACTAATAAAAAATGAAACCATAATGACAATCTTTTTTTTTATCATTTTTTAAAATTTTATTTTATTATTTTTGTGTGAGTGTACCGTCAAATCAGATCTGACTGGTACAGGAGGAGATTGTCCCTCCTTCCCCGGCAGAGCATCTGGTGGATTCGAACC